CACACCATCTTTCCCACCTACACCACCGACCTTCTCACAGCAACCTCCTGACCACGCAAACCTTACGCCTCAACGACACACTCTCACCCTGAGATCGCCGAGACCTATGTCATCACCTGTGGGGAGTTCTCCAATCCACGACGGCTACACTTGTCGTCCCATCGAAATCCCGCCAGTGGAACAATGGAAGCCGGACGTTGATTTTCATGACTCCAACGAGGTGAATGGTTTGGATTTCCCTTCCAAAATCCGCCAAAGCCGATTCTCCAGCTACAAAGACATCGAAGGTATGGATCCTTTACAAGTCCCACTTTGGAAGTTCTTGTACCAAGGATTACACAACACATGGCTCCGCCGTATTGCCTACGGCAGAGAAACCTTCGTCCTCCCTTTTGACAACATAGGCACCACAGTATTTATTGCTGAATTGGTCTCACAACTACGCACAAGAAACGTGGACTTGGACAAGCTGGCTACTTTCAAGTCACGCTCTGCTGGCCAATTTGTGAACCAAAAGGAAGCCACCCAGAACATGGCCAAAGAGGTTGCCCAATTACTTCAATCTTGGCTTCCAGCCCAACCTTCCGCTGACAATGCCAGCCAACAGCGCATTCTTGAATTAGAAGCTGAACTGGCAAAGATGAAATCGGACACTTCCTCGCAGCCACCAACCGCACCTGAAGTCCCGGGAACGGCTTCAACACCGATTGGACGAGCACTACAAGGACAACCATCGACTCAAACATCGTTTGACCCTTCGTCTTTACTGGTCTCTCCGGGATCCGTCAATTCTTGGCTTGTGGACAACCAACCTTCCTCGCTGACCGAGACCCAGTACAAAAAATGGTTGAAGGACTTGAAACTCCCTCAACACAAACAAGATACTTTGGAGAAGCAGTTGGAGAAAGTGCTGGAATGGTGGCAACAGCAACCGGATGACGCGGCCAAGACGCTCCAGAGAGCCAGTGTAGCGATGGGCATTGATCCCTGCAAACACAAGAATGCAACCACGGATGAGATTGTTCTCAAGGTCATGACGGTAGCCATGCTGATGCACTCCTGACTAGCTTCGTATTTGACCTCGCCTGGCTCAAAAGCAGCCCGGATTATACGAACTCTGGCCGTTACGCACTCATGTATTCTTGCTTTGGCTTTGTTGACTCCTTTCACTTTATCTCCCTCTGTTGATATCTTTTTTGCTTACCGGATGCTGCAAACGGCATTGATGGGCCAGTATGTGTTATTACATCCACAAGCTAATTCGAAACTGCAGGCCTTGTTGAAAGGCACTCCGTTGCGGCGCATTTTCTTTTGCACATCTTGGGACGACTTACACGTCGCCCTCCAATGCTTCAAACACCCCAAGCGGTGTACGTTCGGTTTAGCCATATTGCAAATTTCCAACCGAAGTTTTATGTGGGTTCCACTTCTTCTTTTGTTTTGGATCGTGAACACTCGCGCTATCGGAAATTCCTGCAGGTGCAACAGAATAAATTCGTTTTGGCCGAAGTTGCCTTACGGTTTTGGTGCAGATTTGATAATTTCTGGATGTGGTCTGTCTTTCCGATCTACACCAACAAATCCAACTTTTGGGCTTTGGAACAAGCCTTAATTCAACTGTGGCAACCTCGATTGAATACTCCGTTTATTTATCAGTTTTTCAATTGCCGGAAGGGACTCATTCCGCGGACCAAGTTTTCAAGTTCACGCCAGTTTGGATTCTATTCGTTGTGGCGCAAACTGCGATGGAAGTCCACACCTACACAAGTACGGCGAGCTCTACACAGTCCTATTTTTGGTCGCCGAGTTCAGCTTTGGCAAATTATCCAAGACCTCGGTAGCAATTCGGTCAAGAGATTTCACATGGAAAAACGACTTCGCTCCAACGAGATTGGCCCAAATGGATGTTACTTCATTCGACGCCTCGCCAACAACTTGGGAGAACCTCAACGTTCGTACGCTACCAACGCCATCGACCGGGCCCTGACTTTCTGGAAAGCCAAAAGAGTACGAAAACCTGTTCCGCTCCGAGCACCCTGGCTGCTGGCTACAAACTGGACTCGTCAACTCCGACAGCTTCTCACCACCCACGTCCACGGCACCAAGCACTACAACACCACTCTACAGACTCCTTCCACTGGTATTGTATTCACAAAATTCCCCTCTGTCATGGACAGTCTATGCAACCACAAAGAAGCGGCTACCAGGTGGGCTGACGGCGAGACCCCACAATGTGCATGTTCAGCCCTCCAACAACATTCACTTCCTTCTCACCAACCCGATCAACACCTTGTCCTCGACGGAGACAACCTACGTTTCGATGATGCACCTTTTACATCCATAGCTACGGGTTCACTTCAAAACAAAATCTTTCCACCATCCAAAGAAATATACACATCCCTTCGTTCAGCTCTGCAAACATGGACTACGAGGAACTCACTCCCTTCACTGCCAAAAGTACACCTCGATGAACTCTGGCAACGGTCTATCCACTCCCACCACACTTCGCTCCACAACCACATCACCCACAAGGACATCACACGCTTCAAGCAGCTCTTCTCGGAGGCTATCTTTCATAATGAAGACAAGCGGGCTACATCCCTGCGGATTTATTGCCCCATGATCTACTTCCAGTGTCTCACCAAGACCTTCGCCGACCCATTAGTATTTCGAAAACTGGAAGATAGCCCAAACTACATTATCGAGAAGACCATCGCCGAGATCACCAAGCAGTTTGGCAAATCATACCCATGGGCTCTTGGGGCTGGCCGAGATCTACCGAATGCCTACGTTCTACCAAAACGCAAAAAACAGTTCTTGGCAGGAAGACCGATTGTTAGCTTCTTTACATGCAGCACCTTTTCGACCCATGTTGAATTGCATTGCCAAGATGATCTACCACCTATTACCACAAGCTTTCCCTCACAACCTGGCAAAGGGAGATGTTTTTGATCTCATCCAGCTCCTCAAAAACACCGACTTCGACAGTCTTCCTACACCACGTATACACAATCAAGACCTCGCTGGCTTCTTCACGAGCATCGACACTGATAGATTCATCGACAGCTGGCGACTCACCTTGCAGTTTCTTTCTGCCATCATGAGCACAGACCCGGACGAAATCATCTCTGTGAAGGCAACCCCGGGCAACACCACAGGAGATGTTGTCAAAGGACGTACGTGCCGCACACTGAACGTGACCCGGAAGATCTTCATTCGTGATATTGAACGCATCATTCTGATGTCCTTGAAGATGACCCAATTCTCCATCGGCACCTCAGTCTATGAGCAAATCCGAGGCTCACCCATGGGTTCCCCTCTGAGCCCAGCCCTTTGCATGATGGTCGTCGCCCTGTCGGAAGAAATTTGGTACCGAACCTACCGCACTACCCTGACAACCATGGACCTTTCAGCTCGCCTACTTCGCTATGTGGACAACAGACTCTGTCTTGCAGATCCTTCCTGGGACTACGAAATCTCTTTTACCAACTTTTTGCACCCGGAGTTCTACGGCAAACCAATCATTTTGGAAACGGAACCAGATCAAGAGTTCCTGAAATGAAACCCTGCTACGGCGGGGTGTGTGTGTCTCATCTGTAAAGATGTAAAACTTCGTTCTTGGTTTTTCACTAGTTACGCAGGGGGCAGTGACAGAGTCTGTGGGATCACTGCCAACGAAGACGCCCACATTCTCTGGTGATGCATTGGGAGACGTCCTGATGTGTACCTGCAGAAGTCTGTTTGAACTGTTGAATAAGCTGTTCTTTTCATTATTTTGCAATCAGTGCTTGTGAATGGCAAGGGGCTAAGCCAAGTACCCCAACACCATTATTTCATGTTTACACGGTCGCCGCAATCTGAACAATCTTTTTGGAGTTTATTTTCATGATCGCCGATCCATCGCCGATATACTAGTTGGGACACCTTCGCCGATCTCGTCGCCGACGACAACAATTTTGGTTTATTAACGTCTACAATTTCTATTCTATTTGATGTCGATTCTGAACTTGAAGATCATTCAGGACAACTTCCATTATTCGTAGGATGCTTCGTAGATTAATTTGTTTCTCGTCTAATTTGCATGTTACAGGATTCAGTTCCTGCCGGATCATATAATGATCCATTCTTGTCTAGTGTGTGTGTGTGCAAGTTGTGTGTAGGGAAGTTGTGTGGTGACAAATTGTGTGTGTGTTGTGTGGGAGTAAGTTGTGTGTGTGAGTAAGTTGTGTGGTGACAAGTTGTGTGTGAGCAGGCGGCGGGCGGCGGGCGGCGGGAGGAGGCGGCGGGAGGAGGCAGAAGTGCACAACCAAAAACAAGAACCCCAGACAACGATGTGGGGAACTATGTGAGAACAGTGCCAAACCAGGTCAAAGCCGGTCAAAGCATCACAAACCTCTCGCATGTTGGAATGATCAAAACAAATACCGTGAAAGAACATGAAAGAACCATAATTTCAAGGATCCGCAGGGCTTCCCAGCGAATCCCTGCAACCTCCACTTCCGAGATCCAGACTGAAAATGAATCCAGGTCATTTCCAAGAAAACGATAGCGCGCCACGAATCGTAGATGCCGACATTTCAAGCCAAAACAATATTTCAGACTTCAGAGACTCCACAGACTTACGTGCTGGCTCTTGCAGTTGAGGTCCGGCAGTGCCCACTGCAGGTGGAGCCCGAGGGGGGAAAGGTCGAAGCGGAGGCAGGCGGAGGCAGGCGGAGGCAGGCGGAGGCGGGCAGCACCTCTGATAAAATCTAGAGACCCTCACCTGGCAGGTGGGGAAAAGCCCTCACAGTTGGACATGGAAAGCCCATGTAAGCCTGTTGTCGACTTTTCCTGCAAACACTGAAGTTGCTTTAACAGGCTTTAACATGTTTTAACATCACCATCACCATCATCATCATCATCACCATCTTCATTATCACCAACATCATCATCATCATCATCGTCGTCGTCGTCGTCATCACCATCAACTCATTATCTATCCCCGCAGCTCGTTGAACCTGCCAAACTTTTCGACCTTGTGCAAGTGAGATCGGCCTGCGAGCTTTGAGGAGCATGCGGAACTGCATCTACTTCAATGCGTTCCACCACAGAACCAGCATAAGCCAGCAACTCACGACTCAAACGGCTCAAACAACTCAGTTCTGCTTCTTTGGCAGCCCTGGCGGATCCCGCGGCCCTCATTTCAGCTGTCAGGAGAGTTGGATGCCTTCTTGGTGCTTTCAGGACTGGATTCCTGATGCCACAATGCCAAACAATGCCAAACAATGCCAAACAATGCCAAAAACATCAGAATGCCTTCCATTCCGGGACTTGACAGCCGCTGCACGCCTTCCCACAGGGAATTTCGTGACTAGCAAAGGGGCAGTTATGTAAACATGATCATACACATTGATGTCAAATGTCAACATGTTTAGGCAAGCTTTTACATATTGCACACATGTTCAATCGTTTTCACAACTTCTCAAGACAACGGAGTTGTTGAGCCGGGTTTCAAGGCGTTGGAGCTCCACAGGGTTTGCTGCACCTATGACTGAAGTGTTTGGCCTGAAACGTGCTGGCAATGGTGAATTCTTACAGACGTATCACGCCACAACGCTTGAAAAACGAAGCCTCCTAATGGGTATGATTTCGCAACTGTTGTTCTTTGCGTGAACATCCTGTTTTCTTGATCCATTGACTCTCATTAATCTTGTGATTTCAAAGACACTTTCAAGGATCTGGACCGAACAGAGCAAGTCCAAGTCAAAACCAGTCTGGATGACGTGAACCAAAAACGCAAACAAACATATATAATACTAGAACCCAAAACGGCAAAATGAATAGCCCTTGCCAAGTCCTAGCAACATGTGAAAACAAATTGCCAACGGTAAGCAGGTAGTTGTCGCGACGGTCGGAAGCCTGCGCGGTCCATTGACAGCTCGAGATTGACCCCAGAACCTGGAACGCGTGCGAATGCAGGGTCTTCCATGCACACACTAGAAAAGAACTGGATCATTGGAGTGATCCAACTGGATCCCAAATCGTGCAACCAAACAAGATTATTGATCCTGTAGACCTCCTCAATGTGCAGTGCGAAGCTTATTCACAAATTCGCAAATAAGGACAATGACCAGAAGCCCAATCAAATAATTCCACAAAGTGTAACGGATAAAATAATCAGATTGCGGTAGCCCTGCAGGAGCAATGTAAACTCGACAAGTGTTGCAAACTTGACAAACTTGGCGAGCTGGGAAATCGCTGTCTCAGGGTTCTCGGCTTAGTCCTGTGCCATGATCATGGAAACGTCATGCATAATAAATCATTCTTGGCTTAGCCCCGTGCCATTGCAGTAAATCTCAAAAAGCAGGTACGTCGATGAGCGTCCCCATCGATATCACAGATGACACGCTGGCGTCTTCGTTGGTACCAGTCCAGTGTGCATCACTGGCGCCCCCTGCGTTTGAGGGCAATACTCCTTGAATAGAAGTTTCACATCTGTTCAGATGTTTCACACGCACACACACACACACCCTGCGACGGCAGGGCTTTCTTTTTCGGAAGATAGAACTGGATGGCTCACGTGAATCTTTGAAGCTGCCTCAGAAGCACCAGAGTTAGTAGGGCGCCATGATGCCAAAGCCTGAAGTCCCTGAGCAAGAGCCTGTAGTTGGTTTGCAAGAATGCTGTTCGCAGAAGCGGGAGCAGAAGGGGTAGTGCCCGACTCAGATTGCCCAAAGAGCAAATCAATCAGCTGGGATGCCAGTTCGGGAACCATCGATGTGGGTAAGGAAGTAGCAACCGGACGTTGATTCTCAGAGAAATCAGCGAAAGGGGAGCCTCCATGTCGAAGCGATAGACCAAATCCGAAAGCCGCGGAGCCATGGTCTTGTTTCCGGTGAGTCGAAAAAAGAAATCCTCAGGTTCTCGCAGCCGACTGAAGCCGTTGTTACTGTTGTTCACCTGGATGGTGGAAGTCAATCTGATTGGGTAGTGCTGATGTACCTCGGCCATATACGGCGGAGTGACAATTTCTGCCCCTGGGGTGGAGTAGCTGTTGAGGTAGCCGGTTGTAGGTTCCATGTGGGTGTCCGCTTCCGAGGTGCTCGGAGGAGAAGCTCGATTGTTAGAACTTGGCCAAGACAAGTTTGCCATTGCAGAATCACGTTTGACACCAGACATGACGATGGGACGTAAAGGAATGCGAAGAAACATAGTTCAAACATGTCGCAAAGAGTTAAATGAGAAGAAATAACACATCCACGAAGTCAGCATCCACAAGGTGAAGTCACCAAAGTAATGATAGAAGAAGAAACCCGGAGACTTGACGATTCAAACGTGTCGCAAAGGAATATGAAATATGGACAATGAAGAATGAGAAAACCTGCAGAAAACCGCAAGAGGAAGTCCTTTTAACTAGAGGCGGAAGAGCTGGTTCATTCACGGTTATGGACGGATAACTCCCGGTTGCCGGACATGACAGGATAGGCGGAGCATGAATGGGTGACAGCTGCGGGGTGC